AGATCACTAGTTAAAAGTGAACTAGAGATCTGAGGTTTGATCACGGAAGGGTCAAACAGGAAGACTATTCACCTCAGGAACCATTGTTTAATAAAGTGCTTCACCACAGCAAAGGTTATTTATAAGTTGTAACATCAGAAGACTGAACTGTATCGCAACCAAGTTATATGTAACGTTCTCCAAGTATTTTCCAAGTTTATCACCAAACTGCAACCATACGCTTTGTTTCAAAATAAACTTGTTCTCTTTGATTGTAAAACTGCCTCATCTCCATTAATTCTGCGTTTAGTGTGCCCAATCTCCCAAAATTACCTCACATCACCAAATTGGTGGCACCATTAAGGATAATAAATAATAAATCGTAACTTCTCTCTCCTGAGACCTCCCTTACCGAATTTGGGGCCCGAGCTCCTTCACAGCCTGCTTCCCTCTTTTATCACGGCCGACTTTTTAATTAGTTTTAATCAGTTTGTCCTTTTAATTACTACATGTTGCTCACCCATTATTATTGTGCCTGTGCATATTCTTTATTTTTCATATTGCTATGTATTCATGTGTTTTATGTAATTATGATGTTATTGTTTGTTGTTTGCGTTTTCGGTTTGTGTTTTTGGTTTTTCTTTATTGTAATTGTCTTTTGGGCTTGGCCTCATGTAAGCCGCACCGAGTCCCCATTGGGGAGATGGAGGCGGGGTAACAAATAAAGTTTATTATTAAGTACTGAAGTATAATGTCCTGTTTTAGGCATTGTGTTGCAGTCGGACCAGTTGAACCATAGAGAGTGAACATAGTTTTTGTACATGAGAAAATTTGCTAGATCCCTGTTGAATTGACTGTATTTGGTTTTGATTGTGATAGATTTTTTCCTCATGCATTTACATGTGTGACTGAAGAGGAGTGGTTAGAAAGAGGAAACAAGACTATTAAAAGTGGACCAATGCCACAACCAATGTTTTACTTGAAAGGGACACCAGAAGGTGATTTTTCTCTCATTATTGGGAGGCGAAGTAGCTTCTTGAGGAAGTTAGGAAAGCACCTCTTTCTACTGCCCTGGTAAAACTAAAAGTTTTATCATTTTAAAGTCCAGCTGAGATAACCACACCAATTGTGTCCATAATTGTGTGACTCAATCAGAATGGTTTCCTGTGACTCTACCAAAAGAATCAGTGATTTGTATTTTCCAGGGAGACTGCTGGTATTTTTGCCTTACCTCTGTTTGGTGCTCTTCTGTAGTCATGCTGTTATTTATTGTTCCTCTGTCCAACCAGTTTCTGCTTTTATTAAGTGGAAAGCAGCTACTAAAATGAAACTCCTTGCATTGCAATTGTATAATGTGTTTGTCACTGTAGTGTGACAAACAACAACATTGTCCTCCGTAATGGAGATAAATCTGTTTTCATGTAAAATCCCAGTGGTGTATGGATGTGAATGATATCTTCTGTTTCTCAATAGAACAAGAAAATCCAGCTGAGTAAAGTGTTTTCAATGATGTTAGCCCTTCATCCCAATAAACCAGGTAAAATAATTTAACTCAGAATTAATGATATGTATCAAAGGTGGTCATCTTGGAAAAGACGAGTGGAACATCTTGGCAGTACTATTAATCCAAACTGATGGAATATGTTAGCTTGATAATGTGTAGAATCATAGAACTGGAAGAGACCTCAAGGGCCATTCAGTCCAAACCCCTGCCATTCAAGAACATACAATCACATCACTCCTGACAGATGGCCACCCATACTCTTCTTAAAAACCTTCAGAGAAGGAGACTCAGGGGCCTTCCACACAGCCATATAACCCAGAATATCAAGGCAGAAAATCTTACAGTATCTGCTTTGAACTGGGTTATCTGAGTCCACACTGCCATGTATCAAAGCAGAAAATGTGTTTCAAAGCAGAAAATGTGGGATTTTATTCGGTCGTGTGGAAGGGTCCTGAGATATGCTATTAACTAGTCATACTAGAGGGCCTATTCCCATTTTATAACATGGTGAGCATGCTGTTTTGGCCAGGGAGCTGTGTTCCATTTTAAGAAAGTTCTCTGGCTTGAATTCCAGAAATAGGAGAGGCTAAGTGCATCAAGTGGGGCCAAGCAAGGTTAGTTGGTCAGCTCTTACCAGCATGGACATGTTTCCCACTAATCAACAACTCATGTCTATCTTCTATGAGAAAGCCCCAGTGTAACAGATTCATGTGCTACAAACCAGAGCTCAGCTCTACATAGCACTTTAAATAGTAGATTATCCATTATTTCCAATCACTGGCTGGAAATGACAGTAGACGAAACTTGGAAGCCTTCTGTGGACGATTTCTACAGGCTGCATCTGCCCCATGAAGCAGGGATTCTCCATCTCATCTTTGCAACAAAAGTGAATCCTTTTAAACACTGTAACTCAGCATTTTTGCTGCCTAAATCTCTGGGTCCCACCGTGGCTCATCCCTTCCTGGAGTCAGTCCATGCTCGGACCTATTTGCTTCAGTAAGTCAGGGTTTTTCATACATGGATTAGATGGATTTGTGTTGTCTCTGTGGGATTACTGTGAATATCTGACATTTCATCTCTGTCCTTAAGATTTCTCTAATGTGTAGTCCTCTAGATATTGAATTTCAGCATCCAGCACACCTCATCAAGGACTTTAATGACAAAACATCTGGAGAACTGGACCCCAGATGTAGGGAGTCTACATAGTGGAATTAATGTTGTTTGACACTACTTTAACTTCCATAGCTCAACACTATGGAATCATGGGTGTGGTAGTTTTACAAGGTCTTCAGCCCTCTCTGCCGGAGAGTGGTGCTGATTCCACAGCATTGAGCCATGGCAGTTAACATGGTGTTAAACTGCATTAATTCAACAGTGCAGATGGACTCCTAGTCTGTCTTCAGAATAATTTGAGAATGTTGTGTATTCATAGTGCTTGTCTGGAAATATGCAACAGACATGTGCATAGCTCTTGAAGGTGGGGCTTATTATTACAATGCATAACTGCTTTTCAATCATTGAAAAAAAGCAACACATGAACAGCTTTTCTTGGAATGCGTATGTACAGTGTGTAATCTGCTTGTTTGGCCAGTAAACTGGATAGTGTTTCTCTAGAGATAAGATCAGCCTCCTCACTGATGATATTTCGGAAAAAACTAAAGACATGGATGTTTGAGCAAGCGTTCGGCTAAGTCGACGCGATGATGTTTCTGATTAAGGACAGGCAATTGCCGACAACGAATTGGATTATGATTTTCATTTAAGAGATGCATTGGTCTGTATTGGTGGCCCAATACTGTGTATTATATATGTATGTGTTTTATATTTTTAATCTGAATATTGTTGCTTTTAAATGCTGTAAACCGCAGTGAGTCGCCGCTCTAGGCTGAGATACTAGCGGTATACAAGTGTACTAAATAAATAAATAAATAGGGTAACAAAGTATAAGTGGTACTATTTGGAATGACTGCTGTTGGAGCTGCCATCACTGACAACATCTAAACCTCTATTGTAGCTTTGTGGATCATGGCTGCAAAATGGGAAATGGAGGTCCGTCTGTCATCTGAAAGTGCCCGGCAGTTGTTCCTCCGTGCCTTGCGCTTCCATCCTGAATGCCCAAAGCTTTATCAAGAGGTAAATGTTATTCCTTTTCCCTTGCTACCTTAGAGTGTGTGTAGCAGCCTAGCCAGGTAAACAGGATTTGCTGTAGAATTGGTGAACACATGCCAAACGCACCTTTGCACTTCTGGAAATAATCATCTTAAAATTACCTTTATTCAAATGCAGAGTTGCATTTAAAGTCAATAGGAGCTACAGGTTGGTTAATAATACAGTATTTGGGTATTCAGAAATAATACCAGGGGGAGGTAGGATTGACTGTAGCATATGTAAAGCAGAACAGTTTTGAAATTTCCCAAATTCTATTATTTGGACATAGTTATCCTGAGGGATTTATTTAAGATGACTAATCTTAATATAAGTAAGATGATAAAAGATGTTGCACAAAATTTAGAGATATAGATAAAGATCTGTATCTGCATTAAGATAATCATGATGAAAGTGAATGTTATGTTTATGTTTCTGGAATTCCTGTACTGATACCTTATAAGTATTTTCAAAAACTAAATTATTATTTTGGGGTGGGGGTCATTTCCTCGAGGAATTGAAATGAGAAGGATGTGCAAATTCCAATCAAAGATGAGAAGGAGTCGTTTCTGTTAGCTTATTTTAATTTTTGAAATTTCCACTTTAAGTAAATAATCCATCACATTTACCCTCGGAGTATTCATTTCTGGCAACTCTATTTAAATGAGCAGTACTTGGATATAATTTATGAAAAAAGGTGTAGTGTTTTGCCAACAAGTTTGAGCTATGTAGCAAATATTATCTCATCAATTGCAATTTGATCCTTAGACTTATGCATAATTGTATGGAGGAATCCGGGTTTAAAAATGAGTACGATAAGGAACCATTTTTATGGAAAATGTGAACCAATAATGTGTTTGTGTCTTTAAATTAGATACTTGGAGTTGACTATTAGTTTCTGCCTTTTCAGTTTTTCAAGAGCAGTTTAAACTCCCCCACCACCTAAATAGCAATATCTACAACTGAAACATTTACCACAATCTAGATTTAGCCCTGTAGCTTCAAGTGCATCCAAAAGTCACTTAATATTACAGACATTAGTTGAGACAAAGTATCCCAACCCACAGTTAATTTATCTATGGCATGCAAGGTTTACAGCAAGAATATAATAGAGAATTGGAAAATCCACTTTTATGTAATCAATGGCTATCAGTTTTAACATCTATAAAAAGTTGGCTATAGATCTCAGACCATATCTTACACAGCAGAAGTTGCTCTTTTAGGTATATTGGTCACCACAATATTTATTCAAGAAAAGATTTCTAAATCAGCCAATCATTGGAAATGGAATACTGTACTGCTAATGCTTCTTTAACAAATTTGTTTTTTTGAGTTATCCTATAATAGTTGTCCCTCCCATAATTGTGAGGAAGTAATCACAAAAGTAAATTTGGATTATGAAATTTTATTGATATTTGATAGATGGGCAGCCTTGCCCAATATGGTACTTTCCTGGTTTGTCTAGCTACAGTTCTAAGTATCTCCAGCCAGGAGAATCTGATTAGGGCTGAGGAAGTTGCACACTGGAGGATCATGGTATCTCCCTGTCAGAGTTGATTATTATTATTATTATTATTATTATTATTATTATCTTTATTTATACCTCGCAAAATCTCCCGAAGGACTCGATGCAGCTTACAAAGGCCAAGGCCGCCGACAACACAGCATACAATACACAATAAACTCATAAGCAAATAATAAAACATCATGCAAGACAATAAGACAATAAACAATAACATCATGACACAATTAAAACCAAAGGCCGGGCCAAATGTAATGGACAAAATTAAAAGTGCTGAGCTTGACAGGTAAAATGTGAAGGGTATAGGAGGTAGGTGCAATGTGCAGATAATCCTGAGTCTCTAACAAGGTGCATTTGGGACTTAGGTCAGGAGTTTCCTATTCTGGAAAGGCACACTGGAACAGCCAGGTCTTCAGGCTCTTCCTAAAGACAGCCAGCGTTGGGGCTTGTCTGATATCCTTGGGGAGAGAGTTCCAGAGTCGGGGGGCTACCACAGAGAAGGCCCTGTCCCTCGTCCCCACCAAGCGCGCCTGCAACGCTTATTTCAATTAAGACTGACATTTTCACCAGCATTAACATTGGCATTTTCCTAACCAGGAAATAAAGCTGGAGTTTGAAGCTGTTTGCAATCAGATTGTGGGATGCCTTGACCTCGTGTCCATATTTTTGCCTTCCTTTGTTTTTGTAGTATTTTAGAATGGAGTTGATGCATGCAGAAAAGCAGAGGAAAGAGAAGAAAGAATTTGAACAAGCAAAGATGGACTTGGTAAGAAGTTCAAGGATTTATTGTCCATTTCCAGCTAGGTAAATGCCCAGCTAGAGCAGAAACAACTCAGCTTAAATGTTCCAGGGTCCATCTCGGTATATGTTTGTCATTAAATTGCAGAAGGAAGATGATGGATTTTTATATGACTGGTGTACTATTGCTCTCCTGTAAAATATGCGTTTTGCATTGTTGCCAAGTTGGAGCATCATTAGCTTGTGTGTGAACAATGAAAATGCTCTGATAATTTGCATGGCTGCAAAATGATGCAAGATGCAAAATGGATTACCTTTCATTGACTCAGATGATTTGGTCCATGCCTTGTGTCAATAGTATGTTGGCAAATTTTGAGCAGATCATTCATTTTTATTTGATTGAATGTTAAACCTATCCCAATGGTGTATGGCAGGAAACATTAAGCATCATTTTTCTGCCTTCTCACTCCCTTTTCCTGAATACCCAAAAGGCAGCTTTGCAGGGGAAAGTGCCTTATGCTGTTTCTAGAAAATGAGTAGTAGAGTTATTTATTTATTTGTCGTGTCAGATCAACCAGTCAATTATATTACATTTCTAACAGAACAAAGCAAACAAACAGATAAAATACAACATTTGTGAGTTTGGTAGTTGGACATTTAGTAGTAGAGTTGGGAAATGTGTGTGGACCTATCAGACATTGTTGGACTATGCTGAGACTGCAGTGGCCCTCCTGATTTTCATTCCTGAATTGCAGGTTTGGTGAGTCAACAGGCCCTTGAGGCCTGTTTTTTCACCCTCCATGCCCCATCCATCCTCCATTAATGAAATAGTTACATCTGCTTCCAAGAATGAGTTGGTTTGGGGGTTCTTTCTTCCACTTTGGGTTCAACTGCATCATGGTTGCTCTCTCTTGGGTAGGAGTGGGCAGTTCCCATCAGGGCTTTCCAGCATTGCCAATGGTGAGGAATGTTGCTAGTTGTAGTCCAACATCATATGGAGTTCGGCTGCCAGCTTTTGCTTAGGATGTAAGTGAGGATATATGTGGAAATTGTATTTTCGAAGGCTTCCATGGCTGGAATCACTGGGTTGTTGTAGGTTTTTCGGGCTATATGGCCATGATCTAGAAGCATTATCTCCTGCTGTTTCACCTGCATCTATGGCAGGCATCCTCAGAGATTGTGAGGTTGTGATGCAGGCAAAACATCAGGAGAGAATGCTTCTAAATCATGGCTATATAGCCCGAAAAACCTACAACAACCCTATGTGGAAATTGTGTCTCAATTTCCAAATCCATCTGAACAAATATTACAAGAATCGGAATAAGTGCTGAGGGATGTTCATGCCTTTGCTATAAAATGCAATTTTCCAAGCTCTGTACTGAAGTGATTTGATGCATTTTGATAGTTCTGGTATGTACAAAGTCCTCTCTTATTCAACAATGTGCTCTTACCTATTACTCATTTTTAATTATTATTATTTTGATTTGGTACATTTTGGAAACAAACTCCTTATATGTGCTCCCACCCAAAGCACTTCTGTTTTACCAATACGACTCTGTGCAGAAAAATCTGTCACTTGTCTTCATCAAGGAAGAGTTAGTATCTCCTGCTTTTTGTAAAGTGTTCCCCATTTTTGTGCAGGTGCTATGTGAGTCTTTGAGCTGTGTGTTGCTTCAGTTTGCAGCTTTATATGTAGAGGAAAGAATATAAATATTATTTCATTTGAAAGATCAAGGAAAAAATACTTAATTGAAAGAGGGGTTTTGTCTGCAATTTTCAGGGCGAGTTCAACTATTCTGAGGAGGTGCTCAATGGTGAAATGGCTCGAATTGTCTATAAAAATGCCATTCAAAAAATCAAAGGTAACTTGTTTGCTTTAAATTGATATCCTGCTTTCTACTTTGCATCTTTGCATAATGGCTATAAATTCATGTTTTTTTCTGTGATAGAGAAAATTCTTATCTTCTTTATTAATGTGCAGCGCTAGCCTTTCTCAGATATAGGATGCTAGGCCAGATGAGACAATAATTTGGTATGTCATCAGTTGAAAATTAAGAAATTGTATAGATAAGTAAATACTAATCTGCCCATCTCTTCAGAAGCATGAGCATGTCACTTGCTTTAAGAGAAATTTAGCTAGTTTTTTCTTTGTTTTTCTATTGTTTTAGAGTAGATTGATTTAGTTTCATATAGATATGATTCATTTCTTAAACATCTGATATCTTGAAGAGTGTGGTTGCAAGGCTGATGCCACACAAAATTATATTGTGTTTAAATCCACTTTAGGTGCAGACTTCCTTCTGTCACTGCTGTCAGTTGCAAAACTTTTTGATTTTACCGTAGACCTCCAAAAAGAAATTCTTGAGAAGTAAGTTTGGTGTGTGTGTGTGAAAGTGGCATGAATCATTCAATTCGCATAGGTTGGTGTAAAGCACATACCATTTTTGTGGTTTAGTATTTTACTTGAATTGTGTTTCAGGAATTGAGACTGGGATTAGTTCTGCCAGCTTGCCTCAGTTCTAGTCACGTAATAATAATAATAATAATAATAATAATAATAATAGTTCTAGTCACATAATCATCATCATCGAACTGCAAAGACTCTGGCACAAACCAGTAAAGATGGTCCCAGTGGTGATCGGCACACTGGGTGCAGTGCCTAAAGACCTTGGCCTGCACTTAAACACAATTGGCGCTGATAAAATTGCCAGCTGCAGAAGGCCACCTTACTGGGATCTGCATGCATTATTCGTCGATACATCACACAGTCCTAGACACTTGGGAAGTGTCTGACGTGTGATCCAATTCAACAGCCAGCAGAGTGTCTGCTGTGGACTCATCTTGTTGTGTTTCAAATAATAATAATAATAATAATAATTTAATATCCCGGCACCAGCTCCCCAAGAGGACTCGTGGCAGCTTTAATGATTTTTCCCTCATTAAAGTGCTCTGATGTGAAGATACCAGCTTACTGTTTGGTTGGCTCTTTCGTTTTTATCACTGTGCATTTTATACAATTTTAATTTGGTGAACCAGAAGTGTTGAAATGGCTAACCTTATTTTTTTTTAAAAAATCTGGCACCAGAAAGATCGCAAAGATAGCAAACCCAGGTAAAGGTCTCTGTGGAATGTATACAAAATACAGGGTATCATGACTGAACAGCCATGCATCTCACATTAAAAGGCAAAGAACTGCAGAGACACGTTTCCATGGAAGGAGCACTTGAGCTCTTCCTGGAAGGCTTCCAAGAGGCCTTTTGGTGCACTTTAATAGAGAATGAGTATTTTTGTGGAACAGAATGTACCTCAAGGTCTGTTTCAGAGGGTATCCTTCACTGAGCTGCATAGCAAGTGACTTTTAAAATTCAGAAATGTTTGCAACCTTGCTAATAATACTGGATGTATATGTACTGGTTTTGTATTTAAGAAGCCGAATGCCATTGTAATGTGTGGAATGATAGCACTTTCTTGGTCTATTCAGGTTGGTTGCCCTGGATAAGTACGTTATTGTCAGGATTTATTTTCTCTGGAAAAAATTTCTGTTATCTATAATATTGATATATTTATTGAACAGTGTAATTTGCTCTAGGCATAATGCCAGAATTTTCGGGCCATGATCCAGACTACCAGTTGTTCATGAATAGGTTTAAATAAATCTCATTAGCCTTGACAGTGCACCACATACAGTTCTCTTTTAAAAAACAAAACAAAACAAATTAGGCATAAAGAAAAGATTGAAAGAGCCCTTCCCTACAATATTATAATTTCTGTTCTGTAGAATTAAGACTGTGGTGTTAAAGATACTTGTGTACTGTGGATATGATACAGTTGTTTGATTATCCACCTCAGATTTATGACCTGTGTTTCCAGTCCTTATTTCACAGGCACATGGGCTTTCCCCCACAGGCTCCAGGGTATGGTGGTAACATGAATTGTATCAATCAGGCTGCAGATAGGGACTGCCATTTTTTAATGTTCTCACAATTCCCCTCCCCAAAGAAATAACACACCCCTTTTCACAAGGATAGCTAACACCTAACAGCTAATACCTCCCAACAAAAGATTCCCCACAGGCAGGAAGCAGCCAGGCTTTTAAGCTGCAAGACCATTAAATGCTAATCAAGGTGGCCAGTTGCAACATTCACACCTGCCTTGAGCAGACAAGAGTTCTTGCTTCCACCCTGGTCATTCCACAGATTTATAAACCTCACTAGTTTCCAACAGACTTCACACCTCTGAGGGTGCCTGCAATAGTTGTGGGCTAAATGTCAGGAGGGAATGCTTCTGGAACATGGCCATATAGCTTGGAAAACTTACAGCAACCCAAGGAGAGCCCATTCTCTCATGTGTTAGTTTTGTACTTGACATGTGTTTTTTAAATGTATGGGATGGCTTCAAAATGTCTTCTTACACCTGGATTCTAAAGTGGTGCGGCCACTTCCCCCTCACAATTCTTAATAACTTGTCCGCATCATATTCTAATGGATCTTAAAGGAAATTAAGCTTGAAATCTCCTTAGATGCCAAGATCACTACACTGAGACTGTCATACTTTACTTTGAGCGTACGATCACCAGACGCAATTCACTAGAAAAGACAACAATCCTTGGGAAGCTAGAAGGCAGTAGGAAAAAAGGAAGACAATTTTTTTGATGTAATGATTCAGTCTTTACATCATTGCCTTGCGTCTGCAAAACCTGGGGTGACTTAAAAGTCTGTCATTCATGGGATCACCATAAATCAAAGTCAGCTTGACAGGAGATAACAACAATGACACCCTATGACAGCCTCTAGTACATTTGCCATAGCTCCACTTGAGACAATCTTTTTGTTTTTTAAAGCATAGTGTCAATGATGTATCATAATGAGTGCCCGCTTGTCAGGGAACAAAACACTCTTAGTTATTCCTGAACTTCATAGCATGAGGGCTATGTGCCGACAATGGCATAATACATTTTTCCCTTTTAGCTTGCAGGCACAGTACACAAATGATCCTCTAGTATGGGATTACATGGCCCGGAGGGAACTGGAGATAGAAGCTCTGCCGTCATCGGAACATATGTCTAAACAGTCGAAGGCATTGGAGATGGTGCGCAAGGAAGAACGGTGTTGCACAGTGTATGAAGAGGCAGTCACATCACTTCCCTCAGGTTATAAACTGTGGCTGGATATTCAGATATCCCTTTCCATAGCAGATTTCCTACACATTATGAAAGTTTGGCATTGAGAGCCATAAAGAGACCAAGTTTGCATTGTCTAATAAACCACATCTGTTGAAGGAGGAAAGAGATGTGGAGTGAATTAATACTTGTATATTTTACCATTTGATTGAACAGAATGTGCTTAACTGTTCTGATGAAGAGTGACTGTGTTGCATTGTAGTTACATTTTTTAAGAAGGATAAACTGTTTTTGTTAATTAACCTTCCAGAGGACATGTGGAAGTGCTACATCATTTTTTGTGTGGAGAGATTTAAGCGGAAGACCAATAGTGAAGAATTAAGGCAAAAGGTAGGTTTCCCTTCCTTTCAAATTAACACTTTTTTCTGTTATTGGTTAATGCAGTTGAGAATATTAGTCTGAATTTTTGTGAGTTTTTGTGCGATAGCTTGGGGAAAAAAAACCCTGAAATATTTCCTCCTTTTAATATCTGTCTATATTGGCCTTTATCTGTTTTCACTTTGGGGTTTTCACAAGTCCGCTGATATTTGCTTCTTTTGTATAAATAGGTGGCATATTGCAAATCTTGTAGTACCTTTGACACTAACAGAAGTTAACAGTATAAGATTTTACAGACATATAATTTATCAGATGTATGCATCTGAAGAAATTGGCTTAAGTCTACGAAAGATTGTGCTACCACTGTCTTTCTCTCAGTGAGCCTCAAATGTAATGACTGATGCATATTGATTCAGGCTAACATGAGCTCACATCTTTAGATGCCATATTGTTTGTTAAAAGATTGGCACTTGAAGAATGACTTTCTATTCGTATTTAGGGTTGTGGCATTAAAACATTCCATTTTATTTTTCATGGTGTCTGTGTTTTGCAATTTTTCCTTCTTCTTTTCCTCTTACTTTAGAGGCTAGAAAGGCTTTTGAGCATTTACAGTCGAGCCCATGAATTGCACCTGCTGCCTTCTTCCTTCTATAAACAGTGGGTAAGGAATCCATCATACTACCTTGAATACACCTTTGTCTTGTTTGACAGTAGAAGCCAAATATGATTGTGCCTTCTTAGAACTCGGATAATGAGCTAGCAGGAATTAAAAACGACCTCCAAGGAGGGCTAGGGAAAAACCTTTCTAAAACCCCTGAAAAGCATAGCTGTCAGTTAAAAATACTGGCATAGATAAAACCAGTGCTCTGACTGTATAAGGCAGCTTCCGCTATTCCTGTCCTTTACATATCTTAATAGTTTGACTAGTCCTTTATACAGGGTGAGGCAGCATAACTTCCTTATTAAAAATGCGTGCCATTCAGTCGATTGAAGACGTAGCAGAGCGCTAGTGGTCTCGTTTGAGAGGCGGGAGTATAAAGTTTTGTCCTGACACAGTTCAGTCGCCATCATGCGTTGGAACAAAGGAGCGTGCTTTTGCCGTTAAGGCCTACTTTTCAAGCGGATTTGGAGTGGCCGGCCCGCTCTCCAGATTTGGCCCCTTGTGACTTTTTTCTATGGCGTTTTTTGAAATCCCGTGTTTATGTGAACTGTCCAAGGACCCTACAAGATTTGAAGACCAATATCCAGGAAGAAATTACCAACATAATGCCTGCTATGCTGGCAAGAGTCATGACAAACGCCAGAAATCGGTTTACTCAGTGTATGGAGAATGGGGGACGTCACCTACCTAATTTGATCTTCAAAACTATGTAAAACAAAACTTTAGGTATGCGCCTACATTATAAAAATAATCTGATTCATACAATGGGTTTTATTAAGTTTTGAAAAAAGGAAGTTATGCTGCCTTACCCTGTATTTGCACAAAACAGAAAGCTGGGAATAGATTTTTGATTAAAATGTTTACATTTTCTCTATGAATTCTTGCATTTTGCCAGCTTCAGCTCTTAATGGAGCTTGACCTCCAACAGCAGGCTGAGGAGATAGCAACGGCAGCAACCACTCAGTTCAGTCACTTGGCAGAAATGTGGGAAGTGAGATTGCAGTTGCTACTGAAGTTGAACAGTGATGGCGTGGCCTCTTGTTTCCAGGAAGCCATTAAAGTGGTTAATGCTAAGGTAAGTGCCTAGCCTCCTCAGCTGCATTACATCAAATTGTACCCCAGAGTGTTACTGAACATCTTCTCTCACAAGCCGTCATTGCCAGCGGTTATGATTCTCAGACCTATAGCTCAGCAAAATCTGTGGACCCACAGGCTGGAACCTGCTATGCTACATAGGAGCTGCCATCACTTGGCAAGTAGCACTTTGTTGTGGTGGCACATCTTAGAACTAGTGGACATTGTGGACATTCTTAAAGACCAGGAGAGCAGCACACACCAATGCAATAGTGGCACAGGTTCCTGTTTATAGGTGTTCATGGACATCTTCCGATGTTTTTAATCCTACATTGTGAACCTTTTATGTTACTTCAGTAGTAAGGCTTCTTAATTATCACTGGAAAAGATAATAGTGCTTAATAAAGTTGAAGGGAGTGGGACAAGCAGAATTTCATATGATTGGTGGATTGCAGTGCTTCTCAATCTGTGGGTTCCCAGGTGTTTTGGCCTACAGCTCCCAAAATTCCCTGTCAGTTTACCAGCTGTTAGGGTTTCTGGGAGTTGAAGGCCAAAATATCTAGGGACCCACAGGTTGAGAACCACTGTTGTATTAACTCTTTGAAGGAAGCCAGAGCCTTGTGTTGGCAAGACCTGATAAGAGAGTGTTTTGAAGAGCCTTTGTTTGTAGAGTTGCTGCAAGTCGAAGGTGAAAACAGCACACAATAACAACAGTTCAATTCTGGTAGTCCCCCTTTGAGCTTTCAGGTAGGTAGTGTTGATCATATCTCACATTTACTTGGCCTAGTTTTTCAACATTCTCTTTCTTTCTTCTAGGACAGCTTGCCACTCTGGATTTTATGGGTAGAATGGAGTGAGAGTGCCAACAGCAAGGCTGACACTGAAGCTCTCTATCAGGTAGTTGACACTCCATGTAAAACAAACTATTAATTGTACATAAAATGGAAAGGAATTGAAAGTGGTTTTATTACTTAATGTCAAATTTGTTTTTAGAATAGGATTTGGGTCCTATGGAGAACAAAGGTATGGTAGAAGATCAAACTAAGTTGATACAAGGGCCCAAATGGGAGAAGGCTTATTGATAATGTCATATATATATATATAACTAAATAGAAACTATTGTAATTTTGGAAATATTTACCTGAAAATGAGGTCTGGCTTGGATTTTGATCTATTTAGAAGCAAAGGTGATCTATGCTGTCCATCCTACAAAAGCAACTTGAAAAATAGGAGACAAGGAAACCTGAGATTAAAATGAGACAGGGACACACACACATAAACACATAAACGTAAATATTCTGCTATGATCATCATGGGTAAATCAGTTGAACTCTCTTTCTGGGCAAAATTTAATAAATACAGTCCCTTCATAGTCCATAACAAATGTGCAAAAGCTTCACAACTGTTTTACAAATGCATTTAAGATTGTGTTTACCTTTCAGAAATCTTTCCTTGCCACACTTCCAGCTGATTCAGTAAGCATGAAAGAGAAATACCTTGAATGGGCTTATAGAACTGGTGGCTATAAAAAAGCAAAGAAGGTCTTTAGAAGGTTAGAACTCCACCCCCTTTAAAAAACATATATGATTTCTATGTACCCCCAACTTGTTCTTAAAAATCGCTTTTCTCACATGACTTTTTATATCCTAGTTTACATGAAAGCCGCCCGTTTTCCCTTGAGTTCTTCAAGAAGATGATTCAAATTGAAAAGGAGCAAGTAAGTGCTTAAAGTGGATACAAGGGCTAGTTTCTTTTGTGTCATATGCAGCATGTTTAAACACATGGAAACAAGAAATAATCCACTGTAATACCGGTTGAACATCTCTTATCCAGAACTCAAAAATCCAAAACACTCCAAAATTGTCCACATGGATTACTGAGATATTGATATCTTTGCTTTCTCATGGTTTAATGTATATATGATGACACAACTGGGAAGATTTGATGAGAACTTCACAGTATACAAACGTTATTTTATGCTCAATATAATAACGCCTTAATTGTAAGGCTGGGCAGGGGGGTCAAAGAATCCCACCTCTGCCACCAATTATAAGGACTCCTCAATTGGCCGTCTGGGCAGGGGGGTCAAAGAATCCCACCTCTGCCACCAAATTATAATGATATAATTTCTTTGATGACTAAACAATATCACTGGACAGGGGTAAGCAGATCCCAACACTGTCCCTCCTGACAATAAGGAATTCACACCACTTTGGCTCTTATAGCGTTTGAGGGGATGTCTCTTTCTTTAAAACCTTCGCTGCCACCATAAACTAAAGAATCACGAACCCTCTAGCTATTTAGAATGCTAAAAGGCTGTTTAAATTATTAAAAGGCTTTTTTACTCCACCAAAATACTGTGTATTATTCAAGGGCTTTCTTTGAGGGGAAACAGGAGAGGTTGATTCAACAAGGAAAAGGACTCCAACCAAAAATGGCACTTGACTCAGGCTTAAATTTTAAAAATAACAAGAAAGAGTTTATTGATTACAAGTTACAGAATAAAAAGTGAATGCAGGTTCAGAGGCTTGGCTGTTACAATAAAATTGTTATGGGTTCTTAGAAGCGTAATGGTTACTTGAGAGAATGGTTCTTTCCTTTGTTACAATTTCTTAAACACAAAACCCAGCTATTTTCTTTTCTAAAATAGCTGTAACTCAGTCTGCCACAGCCTACTTTGCTGTGCAAACTACAGGCAAGCTGCCTATTCCTAACAGAGACTCCTAAAACTTCCAAATCCTCCTCTAACTTCACCCAGAACCGAACTTCACTAAAACTAAAACTGAACTGTCCAAATAAGCTGTTCTCTTTCCCTCCAACTGACTAACTCCGCCCCCCTTTTCCAAACCAATCCTGGCTGTTGCTGGGCTGGCTCAGGCCTCGGCCACTCCCCCTCTCTGAACTGGAGCTTTTCCCTAAACTAAGATGGCTCCAGCAGCTCTCTGCCAGGCCTTCTAAGCTGAAAACTACCTAGCCTGTCTCTTCCTGGGCCCTGCCACCCTGGCTGGCAAGGTAAGGGATCTTCACACTCAACAGTATTAAAATGTTGTATATTAATGGCTATGTGTATAAGGTGTTCTTTAAATATTAAAATAATTTCATTTTTGGACGGGTTCCATCTTTATCTCATTGTTATTCAAAATTTAAAAACCTGAAGACCAAAACACCTTTGATCTCAAGCACTTGGGATGAGTGTCACTCAACCTGTATCTGGATACACTGGCCGTAGGAGAACCAGTATTTTATTGTGCTGTTTATTATCTAGTGAAATCGGGAATACTGCAAGTTGCCCCTCTAGTTTAACACCTTACACCTCTTGAAACTTTAGGGGATGCCACATCCTTTATGGTACTCTATGGTCCTAAGGTAACAGGCCTTTTCATATGTTCCTTCCCATCTGAGTGACAATTAACAGGAGTTTCTGTGAAAACCTTTTTCAGAAGTAGCGTCAACTGACTGAAAACATCTACTTTAGAACACTTTAGTTGCTTTCTTCTCAGGTGGCATTTCCCTATCACTTGAAAATATTTTTCTTTTAATGGACTTATGAACAAGGGTGTTATCTTTTTCATCTATAGCTCTTAATTTTTGCATTGTGTATTCCTTGTTTGTTGCTCAAAGGGAACTTCAGTGGGTGTTACAGAATAGAAGGAAATAGAATCCTCCTTAGCAGCTGGGTTGATTGGCAGGAGTCATACCAAAATGTGGGAAAGCACACAGGACTGTGAGTGAGTGGGTGAGACACAGAAAGAGCCATGCTGTTGAGGGAAACACTCATACTCAGGCTCACCAGTGCTTCCTCTCTTCTCGCCGGCCCCTTATCATAGGAACTACTCCAGTAAAATCTGGGGCAATAAAAGTACAGGGGTAATTGAAAATGCTCACATCAGTATTAATATTGCAACCTTCTTGGTTGTCGCCCCTGGCTCTGTAATTTTCTTCCCAGGGAGATCAGACTAACCCCTCCCTATCCACTTTCCACAAAGATCTGAAGACATGGATGTTCTGCTGTGCATTTGATTAAACAATTCCCTCGACAATTGCCCCCAGTTAGGACCCAACATTTTTGACCATGCACTTTACTACTGTTTTACCCAAAATCAGAATGATTTCTTATATTGCTCTTATCCTTAACGCTGCTATATGACTTAAGCACTTTTCTCATTGGCCCTATCCTCTGAATTGTGCACCAGTCTGCCCACCCATATAGAGGCTTGAATTATGCTATTGTTGTTGGTTTGGTTGCTTGTTTTATATTTTGTTATAATGTTGTTTTATGTTGTTTTAAATTGAAGTTGTGCATTCTAATGTGCTATATTTTAACTCTGTTGATTGGGCTTGGTCTCATGTAAGCTGACCCGAGTCCCTTTGGGGAGATGGAGGCAAGGTATAAAAATAAAGTTATTATTATTGTATTTAACTGCCACAAAATGGTAAGGTCAGTGTTTTGATGTCATTTTTTTTCACTTTTTTGCTTTAAAGGAATCTGGCAAAATGTTCAATATCCGAGAATATTATGAACGTGCCTTGAGGGAGTTTGGCACCACAGAACCTGGTAAGAAGGCTTTCTGTTTTCCTGCAAGTCTTGAATCCAGTCTCTGCCAGCCTAGTGCCCTGCCAGAGATTTGGGATTTCAGTTTCACTTTGCATGACCAGTGGTCAAGGGCTGTAGTCCACAAAACTCTGGTAGGTACTAGGCGAGGAAAGTCTGGTTAAATTAGTAACATCTCTGCATTAATTACATCTTGTTAAACGGCTAGTCTTATCCTTTCTTTCTGTATATGATTAGTAGTTTATTTTAATGCCCCTTGTTGTAAGCTATCTTGAGGCCTGTATGGGTGGAACATAATATGCTTGGGCAGCATGTTTAATCATCAACATCATGAATTGGTTTCATAAGCAGCCCATTTAGCCATCCCTCTTAATTAAATTTCCCTTGGAAGTGAAACCCATTTGCTTTGCAAACAATGAAGGAAGGAATGTTTCCTTAGTAACGGATATCTCTTGTTTTTTGTGGTGGATTTAGGGAAGGGTAGTTCATTACCAGTGACTGATTCTGTCAGCATATACTGTAATCTTAATATGGGTGGAGCTTTCCTTATCTAGAATTTCAGAATCTAAAATGTTATCTCATGCATATATATATATATATATATATATATATATATATAGAGAGAGAGAGAGAGAGAGAGAGAGAGAGAGAGAGAGAGAGAGAGAGAGAGAGACCTAAAAAAAAATCCAAAACACTTTTGGTCCCAAACATTTCTGATAAAAAGGATATTTAGTCTGCACAATGTCCAATAAATTTACTTTCTTTTTTAATCCAAAGTCTTCTACCCTTTCTCCAAATTTCTTTGACAGTAGTAGGATGTATTTAGCTTAGAATCAAGATTTCCGGAGCACAGCTAGTTGTTAAGTTGTGACTCATCCTCAAAAAGCCACTCATCCATTCTATCCTCCTATCCCTTCATTTACAAGTCCCCATATGAGCAGGGCAATGGAAACTGATCTTAATTCCTCAAAGTGACTGGCTGTTTTTTTCCCTCAGTGTAGGGGAATGTAGGAGTCTCCTGCTAAGTACTTGTTTCCTACGTTTTACTTTTTGAGAACATTTTTGCTGGAAGATGAGATAGGGGATAGCAGGATGTTTCTTCTAGTCTTGCCTTAGTTATTAGAGAGAAGTATGAGATAGAAATGGAGATTCACAAGCTATTATTACTACCACAAGTTCTTTACCCCTCTCAACTTCAGATTACCCAGTCTTCTGAAAGAGTAGCCATGGACACTATACCAGTAGGGAGAATTGAGTTCTTTGCCCTTATGCTGAAGTGCACCAAAATACTATAAAGTTGACAAATCCATGGGTATCCACACAGATACATAGGACTATGTATAGCTAATTTTTTTGACCTACAGGGAGTTGTCTTTCTTTCATGTTTCTCTTTTCTTCTTACAATCTTAACTGGGTGTTCTTTTCATTTGAAGATCTTTGGCTGGATTACATCAGGGAAGAGCTGAACCATCCTGAAGGCAAGCCAGAGAATTGTGGCAATATTCACTGGAGAGCAATGAAAGCTTTGCAAGGAGAACAAGTGGACACTTTTATTTCAAAGTACACTTTGCTGCAAATTGGACACCTGTGAGCAATGTTGTGACTGATGTGGATCAGAAGAACTACAGATCAATATAAAACATTCCTTTCCCTCCCTAAACACTTTGTATACTTCATTCTTCCAAAGGGAAATACATATTTAGTTCTGTCCTGGATAAAAAAAAACAGTATATACTGATGGCTTTTTCATAGATTTCTGTGAGGGTAGAAAGCTGGGATGAGGAACATAGTTTGTCAAGATTGGTGCTGTTGGGGTGAGCACACAAAATAAACATTTCCATTTTTTTATTTTTACCCTGGCTAGGAAAAAAGATTACATTTATTACTGTGCATCATCTACTGTGTTGAGCCAAAAGAATGCTACTGATAGTCTACCTGTCTATATTTTTTTCTACTTGTATTGTTATGCCCTGCCTAAGTTGGCTCAGTATGTCCCAGAAACTCAATTGGACAGGTGGAACCAACAAGAGAGGGGAAGTAGTAAAGACCACTTGAAGCAGATCTTTCCAGAACACATTCTTGCTACAAAACAGATCAGTCTACTACCCAAAAGTGGGCAAGATCTTGTGGTGGTAGAACAGTGAACGTTGCATTTTCTCATTATCTGTTGTGAGACCAATGCCCCCCCCCCCCCCTCACTAATTATATCATTTGGCAACAAGGCTAGTGCAGGAGGAAAAAAAATATCACTATCCTGAAGATGCAATATGAAAGACTTGATTCCTCATACCTATTCCTGACGTGATAAATAGTGTGTGGAAATACATTAAAGCAGAGGTTCACCATGGACCCTGCCTCCTAAGTCCCATTTGTGGCTGCGGACCAACGAGACTTAACTCAAGATTTAAGGCACTAGACCAGGCATGGGCAAACTTAGGCCCTCCAGGTGTTTTGGACTTCAACTCCCACAATTCCTCACTAAACATAGTTTTGCAAGACAATTAAATCAAATTCTCAAAATGTTGATGTGTTAGATCAATTCACTTAAAATACAGTCCACAACAAGGTTGTTACACATTCACAGGTTTCGCTGAAGAGATGATATGTATTTGGAACAGATTTATTTTTAAATTATGAAGAAAATGATACAGTAATTAGTATGTTTTCAATCAAGCAGGCCCTAATAATATTCTCCAGGGGGCCTGAAATGTTGATCTTCAATTTCATTGCATTTTATGGAAAAAGTGGTAAATCTCATCAACACAAGCATTTGTGAGTCAAGGAATGATTATTTGATGCAAAATACAGCCATATGATCTTATTTCTTTGTTAAGACTCACAGAACTACAAACACTGCAGGTCAGATATTGGATGCTGTCCTTTTCAGGCATTTCAGTCAACATCTGATCATGAGACAGCTCCGTCCTCTTATTTGTGTAAAAAAAATACATGTCCTGTGGGGTTCCTTGGGGTTCTGTTTTGTCATCTGTGCTGTTCAACATACTGTATATATGAAACTGCTGGGAGAAGCCATCCGGAGTTTTGGAGTTTGGTGTCATCTATATGCAGATGACATCCAACTCTACTACTCCTTTCCACCTAAAGCCAAGGAAGCTGTCATGACCTTAAACCAGTGTCTGTCATCCGTAATGGCCTGAATGAGGGGAAACAAACTGAAACTTAATTCAGACAAGACAGAGGTACTCCTGGTCTGTGGGAAGGCAAATCAGGGAATAGGGATCCTTCCTGTCCTGAGGTCACACTCCTCCTAAAGACACACGTCTGCAGTTTGGGGGTCATCTTGGACTTGGAGCTGAACCTGGAGGCCCAGGTGTTGGCAGCAACCAGGAGGGCTTTTGCACAATTAAAAATTGTGTGCCAACTGTGCCTGTTCCTTGGGAAGCCATATCTGGCCATGGTGGTACATGTCTTAGTTGCATCCCACCTGGATTACTGTAATGTATTCTATGTGGGGCTGCCTCTGAAGAGTGCTCAGAAACTTCAGCTGGTCCAAAGAGCTGCAGCCAGGTTGCTCACTGGAGCTTGCTGGAGGGAGCGGACAACCAGATTGCATCATCTCCACTGGCAGCCAGTCTGTTTCCAGGCACAATTCAAAGTGCTGGTTACGACCTTTAAAGCCTAGACCCGTGATGGTGAACCTATGACATACATGTCAGCACTGAAACGCGTAGCCATTTTTGATGACACGCAGCCGCATATAGAGAAGCACGGGGTCACATGTCAAGGACGTTTCATCCTTGACTCCTGCACAGCCAAGTGCAGTAGCTGAGGATGAAACATTTGCTGTAGTGTAGACACGCTGTGCCAGAGGTCTGTAGGCCAAAATAACAGCACTCTGCCACAAAGCGTCTAGTTCTGGGACTTCTGGTTAGGCCGTTAGGGGATATTTGACCTCACTTCCAGCCGGCGGAGCAGAATGCCGCGGGGCTGCATCTTTGGGCGCCCTGTGATCGCCATTACTAGCAACCACATAACCACAGCAACCATCATCCGATCTACTGTTCCGGGGTGTACTGAAATAAGTGAGGGGGAGGCTGGGAGAGCCAAGGGTCTGTGCTATGGGTGCCATTTCCCACCATTAAAACAGTGGCAGCCATCTTAATTTACACTAAGCAGGCAAGTTAAACAATTAGTTTTTGGTTTATTAAAATTGTATATTATAATTATACTTTTTATTATTTAAACTATAAATATCACAAAATTAAGTTTTTCCCCCCTCAAAGTGACACCCCACCCAAGCTACGTTGTTCCGTCTTCCAGGAGCATGGTTTACATTGCCTTTTAGCTGCATGGGTTAGCATTCTTTTGCATTTCCCCAGGGTTGCTACAATTTCAGCTGCACCCTGAAAGTTAACAGCATCAGAAGCTGGAAAGCCAGCCTGCAGGCCTTTTTGCAGGTATTGGTTTAGAAAGTATCTCCTTGGGTTAGGAGTCCGCCTTTTTTCCTGGGCTTGAGATCTCCATTTTGGAACCTCCCCTGCCTCCTTCAGTTTTAGAGAAAAGCCTCAGATGTGCTGTAAGGCCAGTCAGAGAGCTCTGAAAAAATCACTGTAAGTACAATTGAGTAAAGGAAAGAATTGAGTCTTAATTGAGTTATTAAGAAAGGCAATTGAGTCTTAATTGAGATTTCAAGCTATTTAGTATAAAGGACTATTGAGATAGTTATTGAACACTGTTTGCTTCATCTCCAAAACTAACCTTGGGCTGGAATAGGGAAGGCCTATGCTTTCTAAAAGATAGTAGCTCAGGGTTGGGGTAAAAAGATCTCAGGATTTTTTCTACCATTTGGAGGAAGGCAACTCAGTGACTAGAGGAAAAAAGAAAGAAAGAACATCTCTATGGTTTCACAATTGACTGTTTTGTTTGTAACTTTGACAAGCTGTGCCAAGTCTGCAAGGACTTTGAGAAATAAATATTCTGTTTTGATGTTCCAAACCTGAAGTGGCCTCAGTTGCTGAGAATTTTTGAGCTTCTAAAGAAAGACCCCCGCGGTCCGCCCAGACAAAGGGAGAAGCACATCTTAGTTTTAATTTTATAGGATCTGGGTGTGATGGCACATTAATTTTTTTGGGCAAATTTTGACACACTCAGCTCAAAAGGTTGCTCATCACTGGCCTAGATGGTTCAGGTCCAGGCAATTTGGTCCACTGCATCCCCTTGTACGAACATGCCCAGGCCCTGAGGAGGTCTTCAGGAGAGGCTCTTACCTTTGTCTCACCTCCATTTCAAGCTTGTTTGGTGGGAACGAAAAAGCAGGCCTTCCTTCTCAGTGGCCGCTGCCCCTCGACTCTGGAACTCCCTTCTTCTTCCCAGGGAATAATAATAAACCTTTATTTATACCCAGCTACCATCTCCCGCAGGACTCGGTGCGGCTTACAAGAGGCTGAGCCCAAAATACATCAGAACAAAAACACAACCACAACAATACAATACAGCAATAAATAACTCATAGCAAAGCAAAAACAATAACACAATATCACGACGCAATTTAAAAACCTGGCAGGGCTAATGTAAAGGTTAAAAAAAAATTAAAAATGCTGGGCATGACAAGGTAAAAAAGGATGGATATTTTGGGGGGTAAGTGGGTGTGCAGACAATTCTAACTCTCTCGTAAAGTGCATTTGGGACATATTGCTTGGGATTCCTTAATCTGGGAAGGCACACTGGAATATCCATGTTTTCAAGCTCCTCCTGAAGACTGCCAATGTTGGGGCATGCCTGATGTCCTTGGGGAGGGAGTTCCAGAGTTGTGGGGCCACCACTGAGAAGGCCCTGTCCCTCATTCCAACCAATCGCGCTTGCGATGCAGGTGGAATCGTGAGCAGGGCCTCTCCAGATGAACGAAGAGATCGTGTGGGTTCATATACGGAAATGTGGTTATTATTATTATTATTATTATTATTATTATTATTCCCAGGGAAGCCAGAATGGCCACTTCCCTACAGTCCTTAAGACAGCAGGCTAAAACTTTCAATTCAGCGGGTGCTGTGCTTTTGTGATGCGTTTTTATGTGCTTTTATGGTTTATAACCTGGATTGTTTGAATATGAATGTTGTTTCATACTGCTTTAATATTTGTATATTTGAAGTTGGACTGAACTGCATTTAGTTGTGAGCCGCTTTGAGCCTCTGTATGGAGAGAAAAAGAGGGATATCAATAAATAAATAAATAAATAATAATATATTTCAGTTCAAAGCAGATCATGTGGATTCAGAAACTGAATCATAAGGCAGTGTGGATGGGGCCTGAGAGGATGGCAAAGACAGGCTCCTTCCCTTGAACAAGTGGTTCTCAACCTGTGGGTCCCCAGGTGTTTTGGCCTACAACTCCCAGAAATCCCAGCCAGTTTACCAGCTGTTAGGAATTCTGGGAGTTGAAGGCCAAAACATCTAGGGAACCCACAGGGTTCTCAACCTGTGGGTAAGGCAAGAGAAGAGGCCTGAGGGAAGTGGAGGCAAGGCGCATGCGCGAGGATCCCAACGGCTCGCGGCGCTCCTTCTCTATTCGGTGGTTCCCTCCAGTCAATCCCCTCCCTCACCTTTCCGCGTGCTGATAGAGCGGACCACGTGACACCGCCCCCCCCTCCACTTGTTGAGGGAGTTGCTCTTCCCCTCAGATAAATAGGTCGTCGTCGTGTGTTGGGAAGGAAGTGTGTGTGTGTTTGTGCGGCAGAGTTTGAGCAGCAGGATGGAGGGGGCCGAGCAGCGAGGTCCCCTGGAGCAAAGGGTGAGGAAAGAGGCCCTGGGTGGAAGGAGAGAGAGCGAGGGAACTCAAGGGCTCTCCTGATGGAGAGGACAGAGGCCCAAAACTGAGGCTTTAACACACTGTGGAGCAGGCATGGGCCAACTTGGGCCATCCCTCCAGGTGTTTTGGAATTCAACTCCCACAATTCCTAACAGCCTCAGGCCCCTTCCTTTACCCCCTCAGCTTCAAGGACCCAAGTTTGCCCATGCCTGCTGTAGAGTTAGTACAGTTTGACCTCCCTTTAACTGCCCAGTGGTGTGGAATCCTGGAGGTTGCCCTTGTAGTAGGGCCACAGGCGAGGCACAGAAGGCCTTGTGGAACTATCAATCCCAGGGCCCCATGGCATTCAGCCAGGGCAGTTCTGGAATGAAGTAACACTTCAGAATAGGCTGCCTTTATTACCTTCCTCATAAAACACAAAGTGCACGTGTTTATCTTTTATGCTATATTTTAGAGCAGGGGTCCACAAACTTTTTAAACAGAGGGCCAGGTCACAGTCCCTCAAACTGTTGGAGGGCCAGATTATAATTTGAAAAACATGAATGAATTCCTATGCACACTGCACATATCTTATTCGTAGTGCAAAAACACTTTATTATTATATTATTATTAACTTTATTTGTACCCCGCTAGCATCTCCCGAAGGACTCGATGCGGCTTACAAAGGCCAAGGCCTCAAAACACAACATAACAATACAAAACCTAAAGCAAATTAAAAACAATTAAAGCAATATTAAACAACAAGCAATAAACAATACACCAAGACACAATAAAACTGGGCCGGGCCAGAGTAAGGGTACAGAATTAAAAGTGCTGATGTGACAGGTGGTATATAAGGATTATAGGTAAGTGCAGTGTGCGGCAATCTTAGTTCTAATAAAGTGCTTCTGGGACTTGGTATTGGAGATTTCCTATTCTGGGAAGGCACATCGGAACAGCCAGGTCTTCAAGTTCTTTCTAAAGACTGCCAATGTAGGGGCCTGTCTAAGATCTTTGGGGAGGGTGTTCCAGAGTCGGGGGGCCACCACAGAAAAGGCCCTGTCTCGTGTCCCCACCAAACGCGCTTGCGACACAGGCGGGATCACAAGCAGGGCCTCTCCAGATGAACGAAGTGAACGCGTGGGTTTGTAGACGGAGATGCGGTCACGCAGGTAGGCTGGTCCCAAACCGTTCAGGGCTTTGTAGGTAAGCACCTGCATGTTAAATTGGGCTCGGAAAATAAACGGCAGCCAGTGGAGCTCCTTGAGCAATACAATAATTAAAATTAAGAACAATATTAACAAATATAAACTTATTAGTATTTCTATGGGATCTGTTTTTGGCTGATGAGATAGGATTGTTGTTGTTGTGTGCTTTCAAGTCGTTTCAGAGTTAGGTTTGCTCTGAGTGAGGGCCGGGTAAATGACCTTGGAGGGCCGTATCTGGCCCCTGGGCCTTAGTTTGAGGACCCCTGTTTTAGAGGAAGGAACTAGGAAAACTGCCTCTGAGTCTTCCATGACCTAGGAAACCCTGTGAAATGTATAGGGTTGTCATAAGTTGACAGAACAGCTTTCTAAATACACCTTGCTTGTTTTTAGGAGAAACATTTATTGTCTCAAAGGTTTACTTTGATATAGAAGTGAGGTGGAAAACTGTTATGAAGAGGTGTAATTGAATTAAGATACTATTTATTTATTGTTGAAGGCTTCCATGGCTGGAACCACTGGGTTGTTGTAAGTTTTTTGCACTATACAGCTATGTTCTAGAAGCACTCTCTCCTGACATTTTGCCTGCATCTATGGCAGGCATCCTCAGAGGTTGAAGAAACAACATCACTGTGGTCTTTTGAATTCTGACGTCTTCTTCCTACTTCTCCAGGTCCTGTGCCAGGGAGTTCCTCCAATGGATTGTTGTAGGTTTTTTGGACTGTATGGCCATGTCCTGGAGGCATTCTCTCCTGACATTTCACCTGCATCTATGGCAGGCATCCTCAGAGGTTGTGACCTCACAATCTCTGAGGATGCCTGCCATAGATGCAGGTGAAACGTCAGGAGAGAATGTGTCTAGAACACGGCCATACTATTTATTTATTGACTTTGTTTATATACTGCTTTTCTCACCCCAGGGGGAACTCAAAAGCAGTTTCCAACATATTCACGGCATAATTTAATGCCTTACAAAACATAAAAACCTAACATAAACAACAGTAACATAAAGCTATCAATTAAATCATAAAACGTAATTATATTTAAACAAGGAATTAAAAACATATTAATATGAACATTAAATCACATGATCCAAAAGCATGGTCCAGACCGTTCCAGTATCGAATAACAATTGATAACAATACTAAAATGATATTAGTAATTGTGAGTCCTGGGACCAGAGTAGAGCATCTATATGAAAGGAAAAACACACATAAATTACTATTTTTTCCTGTCTAAGAATTTGTAGGTCTTTCAGCATGACACTATGGTCAGTTTCTACTGGAGGCTCATCATAGAAGTTAATGGAAGGAACTTGAGATTCCCAGAGAGATGTTATGTCTGGAAATCTCAAGATCCTCCTGCTTGATTGGAGGAAGTTTATCATTGACACATTAGAGGGCTCAGAGAATCCCGGAGAGAAAATTTAAATCAATCCATGAATAAACAAATCTTCTAAAGTCAAAAGCACATATATGAAAGAATGACTGTATTTGAATATTGAGTCATGGCTTTGGAGAGTTAGGATGGTGACAATAAGATAATGGTAGTAGGTGGGACTTTTGAATTATGCAAGATTATAATGTTTAGGATTAAGACAAGGATCTCATTTCTAGAGAGAAAAACACTGCATTAGGATAGTGTTTCAGCATATTAGGAAAGGAAGAAAAACCCAGAAGTTTACAAATGTTTGTGTAGTGGAGAGTAAAGGTGACGTCTATGTAACATCTTAAGTAACATTCAATAAAATTATATTTGTTTTTAAGATAAGCATGGCTATACTGTGCTTGCTCCAGTGTAAAAGTAAAGTTGAATGAAGAGCCTAAAATAAGATCCATATAAACAGAGACAGCTTTAGATCTTGGTAGCAACACTACACTTGGAAAAGTGTGAATATATGAGATGGGATCTCCATAGGTAGTGATTAGCATTTTGATCATGTTAGCATCATAACATGGACTCACTAAATCAGTGGTTCCCAACCTTTGGGCCTCCAGGTGTTTTTGACTTCAGTTCCCACATTTCCTAACAGCTGGTAAGCAGGCTGGGATTTCTGGGAGTTAAAGTCCAACCTTTGGAGGCCCAAAGGTTGGAAACCACTGCACTAAATCAATGGAAACTTGGTAAGTCAATACATAAGTTCCATTGATTCAGTGAGCTTAATCCTAAATCCTAGCAGGATTTAGGCCCAAGAAATAAGATTTTCTGTCTGTGGAAATCCTAATTAAAATATTTATATAATATGAAGAAACTGGAGCAGTGTTTCTCAACCTTCCTAATGCCACAACCCCTTAAGACAGTTTCTCATGTGATGACCCCAACTATAAAATTATTTTTGTTACTACTTCATAACAGTAATTTTGCTACTGTTATGAATCGTAATGTAAAATCTGATATGCAGGATGTATTTTCATTCATTGGACTAAATTTGGCATAAATACCCGATACACCCAAATTTGAATACTGGTGGGGTTGGTGAAGGGGAGGGATTGATTTTGTCATTTGGGAGTTGTAGTTGTTGGGATTTATAGTTCACCTACAAGCAAAGAGCATTCTGAACTCCATCAACGATGGAATTGAACCAAACTTGTCACACAGAACAGCCATGGCCAACAGAAAACACTGGAAGTGTTTGGTGGACGTTGACCTTGAGTTTTTTAGTTGTAGTTCACCTACATTCAGAGAGTAGTGTGGATTCAAACAATGATGGATATGGACAAAACTTGGCATGAGTACTCAGTATGCCCAGAAGTGAACAGTGATGGAGTTTGAAACAGTAGACCTTGACATTTGGGAGTTGTAGTTGCTGGGATTTATGGCTCACCTACAATCAAAGAGCATTCTGAACCCCACCAACAACAGAATTGGGCCAAACTTCCTACACAGAACCCTTATGACCAACAGAAAATACTGTGTTTTCTGGTGGTCTTTGACAACCCCTCTGACACCCCCTTACAACCCCCCCCCCCGAGGGGTCCAGACCCCTGGTTGAGAAATGCTGAGCTAGAGTTAAGAAACTTTTCCAGTGTGTTGAAAAGTGTTATCATTGTGAACTGGACAGTTAAATTTGGACAATTTAGGGACAGTGTTGTGTGCTTATGTGCACAGACAAATGCATTTGGTCACACCTTGGTTTGATGAGATTCCTTCAGATTGTGGAATAAATATCAAAATGTATATCTGGCAAAGAAAAAAGACAATTGCCTGTGATAGATGTTAGGTTAGGTTTTCTGTGGCCTACAAGAGGATTTCTAAGCAGATGTTGCAAATAATCAGCAACTAACAACGTTTCATGTTATAATGTTTCATATTCACCTAGAATAGATGCACAGAATGGTAACACATATTTTGATAACAGAAATATAAAATATAGAACATAATAAACAATTTTGCAGAGGTAAAACAAGTATAGGATTATTTAGTACCTATCAGAATTCTTATATTATATAATAATTTGACTTACACCAGCATTTCTGTTCTGCAAATAAAGGTTGATGGATCTGCTTTTGCTGTTCAGAAGGAAATAGAAGTGGCGAAGATTTTCTGCTGGAAGCCTAGGAAAGGTATTTCAAAGGGGTTGGTGGTGGGGAATGATGTGAGAGGTACAACTTCAGTTTACTGCACAAGATATTTCCATTTTCTTGGAAGAAACATGTATAGCACTGTATGTTTCTCTTCCAAGTACAGACCCTGAAAGAGGCCTTGGATAGCAAGGCTGGGAAAGAGAAGAGCCAAGAGAGTGTGTTTGTTTAGATGGACAATTGGCCTTGTTTAAAGTAAAATTGTTCTTTATGTTGTAATATTAAATTTACGGCGCTCCATGCAGTCATGCCAGCCACATGACCTTGGAGGTGTCTATGGACAACACCTGCTCTTTGGCTTAGAAATGGAGATGACCACCAACCCCCAGAGTTGGACACAGCTGGACTTAATGTTAGGGAAAAACCTTTACCTTTTTATTAATTTTTATAGCCAGAAAAAGCATAATGCATTTAATATATCTGGAGTCTTCAGTGATGATTTAAAGAACAGAAAATTTGTGAATACTGGTTTTCTAGTTGTCTTCTACACACGAAAGTAAATGTGTTCTTTTGATCATTATGGTGTAAGAGGGGCGGCTCTCAGAAGCAGATATATTGATACTTAAAGGCCCCTGTGATGGGGTTTAAGATCAGAGCACAGCTGGTACACTGCCTGAATGTAGCACCTGCTTTTTGTTGTTCAGGATGTAGCTAAGCTATATATGGCATACCGGGATAAATCAGCAGTCCACATGGTGGGTGTAGAAAGCAAGCCTTACTAAATTAAGGAGCTATATGTGGGTTTTTTTTCATATTAGGAGCAACTTGAGAAACTGCAAGTCGCTTCTGGTGTGAGCGATTGGCCGTCTGCAAGGACGTTGCCCAGGGGACGCCCAAATGTTTTGATGTTTTACCATCCTTGTGGGAGACTTCTCTCATGTCCCCGCATGGGGAGCTGGAGCTGACAGAGGGAGCTCAACTCACTCTCCCCAGATTCGAATCGCTTAGCAATGCTTAAAGCTTAGGGAGGTGATTGGGCTTCAGCACAGGGGTTTAACCCACTGCGCCACCGGGGGCTCCTTGCTATATGTGTTAAGTCCTGGGGATAGGAAAATGGTAAGAGATTGTGGTTGTTGAAGCTCTGAAATCAGAAATTCCCAAACTCATTTGGCCTACTGCCCCCTTTACAGAAAAAAATTACTCGGCATCCCCCTTCAAATCAACCTTGTTTAAAGTGAATGAACAGAAAGATGCCACGATAACATCCTTTTATGTAGCTGTGTTTCTACCTACATCCTACAACATGGTAAAGAAAGATGTTATTGTGGGTAAAGACTAAATATAGCACATGATAATATTAATATTCAGATAATGAAGGGTAATATTAAAATAAAAATTACAAATATCATTAAAATAACCCTAAATGAGAAGAATGAACTTGGTGTGCTGCTATCAATGTATTAATATTCATCTCTATTTTTGTCAGCATTAATTAATTTTTTAAAACACTTCCCGGTACTGCACTTGCACTATTAACTGCTTTTCACACAATTTAGAAACTAAATTAGATTTCATACATGTCACCTATTTATAGTGTTGTGTTGTAAACAAGTCATTGCACACATATTTCTGCTAGTGCATGCTGGATTTCCTGACAATAGATGACACACTCACTTGTCAATACGTGCTTGGTCAAGTCCACTATCAAGACCTGACAGTGGACTTGACCACTGATTTGTTATAACTTGTGTTTTGTGTGTTCATTTGCAAAATAAAGTAATCACAACAGCTTTAATAACTCTTATGTAACAATGAAACATATATGAACATGTGTTGTTGAAGTCTTTCATGGCTGGAATCACTGGGTTGCTGTGAATTTTTCAGACTGTATGACTGTGTTCCCTAAAGTTCCACCTGCATCTGCTGCTGGCATCTTCAGAGGTTCTGTGAAGCAAGTGGAGTGTATTCTGTGGAATGTCCAGGGTGGGAGAAAGAACCCGTGTCTGTTTAAAGCAAGTGTGAACGATGCAATTAGCAAGCTCGATTAGCATTGAGTAGCCATGAAGCTGCAAAGTCATCCAGTGAGGGTATCTGCATAGAGGTAGCCTGGCCTCTGTTGTAGCTTCATGGCTTGTTTGATAACAATAGGAATTCACCTCCCCTAGAATTTAAAAGAAATGTTCTTTCAGTGTTTCTAGGTCTGCTGGGGAGGGTAGGAGAGAAGGCAACAGACACTTATAGTGATGCAGAATCCTTTGAAGATTTGGAGACAGACAGTGAAGAGTGTTGGGAATCGGGTGGTGAAGATAGCAGTGGGCCCATCACCAGTACAACTTCTCCTGAGATGAAAGTTACACTCCAGCATGAGAAAGAGGACTGGGATTCAGAGTTGGCAGACACTGAAAACGGAAACAATCCTTACGGTAGGTAGATCCTGGAATTAAAAAAACAAAAACAAATAATGATAGAAAGTCATGTGACTGGGTAGAGTGCATTGTGAAAAGGGGATTTCATCCTTGAAACCAGTGCAAGTATTTCTGCAAGGTGTCTGTATTTGAGAAAAATCTTAACGTTGACCTTTTAATTCACCAAAAAAGGGAATTACCACTATTGCTTCTGTTGGTTTCCGATCTCCGATATAAGGTGCATCTTCACTGTAGAATTAATGCTGTTTGACACCACTTCAACCATCACTAATCAAGGCTATGGGAGTTGTAGTTTTATAAGATCTTTCGCTTTATATGACAAAAAGTGCTGGTGCCTCCAAACTACAACTCCCAGGATTACAGAGCATTGAGCCATGACAATTTAAAGTGACGCCAAACTCCATTAATACTAGAGTATTTCTGGTATATCTAGAAGTTTATACAGTAGAAAAACCTAATAGTACAAATGATATTGTGGTCCTTTTAAAAACTAGTATTAAAAATTACAACATCAAGAGTTTGTGCTACTTTAAAGACCAATGAGTTTTATTTGACATCCAAGCGTTCATGGACTGCAAACTGTTTTAAGGTGCCACAAAACTCTTAGTTGTTTGCATTGCAACAGACTTTCACAGCTATCTCCCTTTAAATTTTGTACATCAAAAAGAATTGAAGCAATATGGGATGCTGAATTGAGAACAGTTGTGTTCTGAATTTATCCCAGTATTTCTGTAATTCAGTTATTCCTGAGCTATGTTTTGAACACGTTTTTGCCTGTCTCTAGAAAACAGCTGTAATAGTGCATAAAGAGGTATCTTATAAAATCTTGCATTATCATTGTTTCCTGTGATTGTTTGTTTTTCCAGCCATTAAGGCCATTGGCATAGAAATGCAAGCTAAATCAAGAAGTGCTTTATTTAGTTTTTTGTATTGCCCTCTTTCCTTGCACAAAAATGTCTCTGGCTTTCCTTGCATATTTTCCCACAAGCGTAAGAGAGATGTGTGGGTGAGTTAGGTGATCTGTAAGTAATCTGCATTTTTAGTCATCCTTCCTTTTCCACAGTTTATGATTGTAGCACTAACTGGGTACACTGTGGTTTTTTATGCATTCCTACTTTAAAGTACTCACTGGTTCTTCGGGGTTAAAACGTAAATCAAGGCATCTTATTACAGGGTCTTCACTGTTCTTTTCATTTTAATAAGTTATTGTGAGGGCCATCTGTGAATAATTCATTTACTTCTAGCTTTCAAATTGGAAAGTAACAATATCTTTTCTACTCGCATGAAACACCTCATAGGTATCCTGCATGTCCTAAACAGAGAAATTTTCTGTTTTATAATATTTATACCTGGTAACTGTGCCTATTATACCTGTTTGGAATATTTTGGAGATACTTTGGGGAAGGAGTTTAGTCATGTTTCCTGCCAGACCTGTTTTCCTTTTAGGTTTTAAAAAGTTTTATTGTTTCTTCATTTCCTGCTTGCCTGGTTAAAAACAGAAGATAATTTTTTTAGTAATTATTTTAACAGAAATGTCACATGATTATTCTATATGTATTCCCAGAACTATTGTAATCCATAAGGGAATAATTGTTCTTTTTAAAGAACTTGCAGGTATTACCTGAATTTTAATTTCTTTCCCATATGCATACCTATATTATAACAACACATACACTATGTAGAAGAGGGAAGAATTGTATACCAGTGCCTAATCTAGTCCTGAAGCTATTCTTTTTTTTTTTAATTAAAGGAGCAAGCTGGGATACTATTAATTTTTAACATGATTTAGTATTGATGGAAAGATGCGTAAAGTAGAGAAAGAAGAGGAATGAGTTATTGTATGCCAAAAGAATTATTTTGTGCTGGTGGGTAGACCCAAAAACACTTTGCCTTAGAAAAGAAAAACAAGAGTTGTATAAATTTCAAAGTTGGAAATAATTAATTCTCTAGCAGTGTTATTTTATTTAGCACTGAATGAGATCCAGATTTCATTTAATTATCAATGACAGATCTATTCTTGATATGTCATTTTGCTTATCTAGACAAAGATTGTGGAAACTGAATTTCGAAATAAGTGTGAAGTGATATATTTTGTGAGAATTAATACTGAATATGTATTTAGCTTTCTAATCACAATGGGACATGAGAAATGCCTGTCAGTTTGCTCACACAATTTGTTAACAAAGAAAAATTGTATTTCTGCTTATTTAATAGTAGAGAATACAAACAATTTGCTAAAAATTATGGCCTTATTCCTTAGCATAAATGCCTAGAATTATAGCCAACTAGATATGTAAAAGTAATGGAACACCATGTTTACTTAAAATCACATCCTAATTATCTCTTTAGATTTTGAAGATTTTATTCACTGTGGAGATTTCTTGGCTAAGGATCAAACAGCATCGTATTCAGTTCAAGGGCATCTTTTGTATGACCCCAGCTTGCACCATGTAGCACCACTGACTTTGAAACACATAGAGGCTGTGCTGGTGGATGGGCAGTTTGATGATGCTGTTGACTGACAAATGTTCAGGACTGGAATATCAACAAGACTGGTAAGCATAGACACAAAAAGTGCTAAGCATAGACACAAAAAGTGCTAAATGTAGCGCAAACCAGATATTGAACCATATGTTACAATTATAGTATTGGAATGTTATTAAGAATACACAACTCAACAGATTTCTTACATAGTAGCATTTTGTTGGTTTTTTATTTAAATACCTTTCAGGAACAGAGATGTTGTGTAATTACAAGGCATTCATTTCAAGCATTCAGAATTTAATCATCCAAAAATATTTCCCAAAAAATAATTTCTGGACTGGGACTTATTCCCACTATGTAATTATAACATTACCAGTGTTTCCCAGGTTTACATTTTCTTTGTGGCTCTTTCTTTCCTTCCTTCCTCCCTGTCGCTTATACACCTTCTCCCTTTCTCTTTACTTTCTTTCCCTTTTCTCCCTTTCTTTCTCCCTTTCTCTTACTTTATTCTTTTCCTTTCTCTTTCTTCCTTTCTCTTCTGTTCTTTTTCTTCGTGGCTTTTTCTTTTCAATTTAACTGCCATAGTTCCATCCTAGGGAATTTTGGGCTTTGCTGTTCAGAGAGGGGCCTTTGGAATCCCCAGCCAGTGAACTCCAGTCCCTCTGATCCAACTACAAACCCTGAGTTTCCATAGGATGTTGCCATAGCAGTTACAGTAGAACAGAGTGCTATAATTGCGTAGTGTGAACAGGATGTAGTATTCTAACTGTTTTATTAATCAGTATTGACTTTTCCTCATATTTAGATGTTATTTTTAGAAATAGATTTATATTTAGTATAGGTTTGTATCATATTCAGGGTGTATGCAAGATCCCTCTTTTTATTAACACTTGTTGTGCTTATGTTTGTTCTCAACACTGGAGCAGAAATATTACTTCTAAATTGGATTTCTTCCTGAAAACGATCCAAGATTCAAAAGATACTCTGTAGGTTTTGTGTTTGAGAACATTGAATAGTATGTAACATTATTAGAAACTGGACAGCTGGATGTTTCGGAAAGTAGATAGATGGCAATTCCTAATTTATTTATTTGAACGTCATGAATGGGATTATTGCAATTCAGAAGCTGATCATTATGCTCTCCTGTAAATCATGCAGTGTTGTTTTTTTATTTTAAATGAATTGTGTTGTTGTATATTTTTGTGTTACAAATTTGTGCAGTTCAGTTTCTTGTTTGCATTTATTTATTTGAAACTGGGACCCTCAACCATGCTGGCAACATAGATCTTGGTGGGGTAACTCCTTAATAAAACAGGCTGTTCAATGATCTAGGCATTGTGTGTGTTTGTGTTTCATTTATTATGTAATTTGTTCATATGTGAGTTGCTTCCTAGATTTATTTACTTAATTTATTTTTTTACCTCACCTGTCTGTCTCCCCCTATAGAGACTCAAGATGGAGAACAATAAATATGACACAATACAAATTAAAACAGTGTAAATGCATTTAAATATAGATATACACATTTAAAAACAAATCATTTGTGTTGTCATTAAACATTACATATTAAAATATTTAAATGCGTTAAAACTCCATACCCATCCCAAAATCCCAATCACAGATCTCCAAAAGCCCACCTTTCATGAGTTGATAAATGCCTATTTGCATAGAAACAGTCTCATATGTCTACAAAAGGCAAACAGAAACATGTGAATACATTATGAGTACATCTGTTTGATAGAGTGGATACCTAACTCTTGATTGACTATGTCTATTTTCAACTGACTGATTTATATAATTAACTGTCTGGATTTACAGGCTCCAAATCCATGATTTCCACTGACTACAGGTTGTTAAATGGTATACATGGTGGTGACGTGAACATGGATGCATTGAAGTGTCTGCACATACATAGACATTTAGTAATATGTGATGTGATCATTTGCTTTATTTGCATTTGTGAGAGGTCCAGGAATCCCATGGATTCAGCGGACCCACTAGATAAATGGAATTCTAGTCCTTACGTCTCTAAACCATGGACATTCTAAGATGGTCCTTGTTTCAGTCGGAATATCTAGAAAAATGCACATAATCTGTCTGGCAGGAGAATAGCTTGGCTCTGTAACATATATATGAGGAAAAAAACAGTGAAATTCCTCTTAAAACATTGAAGATAGTAAATATACTGGCAGTGATTAGCTACTTTTTCATACTTGCATGAACTTTCCATTACTGCATAAGAAATCCCCCGAATCTGAAGTAGTTTATAGGGTATGCTGAAGAGGACGTTAGTCATTCTGAATACTTTATCTAGATGTGCATGTGTGTGTGGGTGGGGTGTTTCAGATATCTTTGTTCAATGTACCTGATTCCTGGTAGTGATGAACTTTCTGTGCTGCACCTCCGCTTTCCTTAAATAGATGAGAGTCTGTGCAGATAACTTGGTACCTTTCCTGTGTAGTATGTATGCATGCTTAATGTTGGAATTAAGATCACTTGATGTCACTGCATGCTTGGGAGAAGAGTTGATGCTTCTTTCCCAGAGGCCTAAATACAATTCTGATGCTTGATATTGATGATTTCCCAAAATGGTGTATAGTGTGATCTTTTTTCAAAATGCTTGTCATGCACCTACAGGTGTGGATAGCTGGAGGAGTTGCCTACTTTGTGGATGAGTTTCAGAGAGGTTACTTTTGTTGTCTGTGCAGACTGTAGGGGGCAGCAGTCATCCAGCCATAGTTTTTATGGCATGCTTCTCCAAATAAATCATCACGGAAACATAGTGCAGCAGCCAAGCAGTTTAGTTATCAGGAACAGTGTCAGTATTGATCAGATAATACTAAAATGGTACTTTATTGGACCTAAGAGTTATTAAAAAGTTAATGTGTCTTAGTTAAAAGAGTTAAGTTAAAGATATGAGTTTTTGTAACCTACATATATTATTTCTGTAAACTTCTTTTTAAAATATTACTTTTGGCACAATTAATTGCTACTTGTTTTATCTACTGTGTTTGAAACCAGAATTATTTGTTGAATCCTAGGGCCTAAATTTATGGTGATGATTTTAGAGACAAACATAATTCCTTAATTCCAATCTCCTTGCTCCTACTATATCCTAGTTCTGTGACTTAAAGCCATTTATGTCCCATATTTGCAAGTGATGACACACAGTTTGCTGAATATGTTCTGCATTTACTGGTTAAAAATTTAAGGACAGAACAGCTAGATTAGACCGAAGGGTTATGTATTCGTGGATTCTGTTCACAGGCTGTAACCAACCATTCAGAGACATGTTAAACTAGAATATCAGTATGCAAAGGGATTTTGTACTACCTTAGTGTTGTGTGATTTCAACGCTGCTAAAATTGTGGGTTCAGGGCCTGGAGTATCAAGCTTCCAGAAAGCCAGATTAGACACAGACGAGTTGAAGGCAAAATCAGATGTTTTATTCTCACTGGCTGGAGATGATGTTAGCAGAGTTCTTCAAAGTACTGAGATACTTGTATTGCGAATACATAGCATATTTATTGTATTTTGACATTTGTTCAAGTCTACCACGCTGGCTCCTGATTGGCTCAGAAAATGTGTGGCTAGGACCCATTCCCTGAGTGGTCCAGGGTTCTGTCTGACAACATCACTGGGTGGTCTTTGCTGTGGCGGGAAACTTTAATAAATTGTCATTGGATTATTTTGAAAATTTTTGTCTATTTATCGATCCGTCCATGACAGGGACTTGATTGGAAAGGAATGTGGTGTGGCAAAAGATAATGGGCTGAATATTCTAGCTCCAGTTGATTAAATGGGGTGGGTTAGTCCAGATAAACAATGGATGCTTATGATGATGCTGTCTCAGTGGATGTTGCAAGGCTGGATCTGGTTTGGTGCCATAGGAGAGGAAGCATTTCCAAAGATAACTTGATCATATCAAGTGAAACAGGAAAGAGGACCCAGGGGCTTTGATAAAAGTATATTGTACATTTCCTCCAAGTATTCCAATTCAGTGTGAAAGGATTGTGGTAATTTGGGGAATTGTTTCCTGAAGTTCAAGGTGGAGTGAAGCATTATTCCAAGGGAATTTAAAAGTAGTTATTACAGGACACAAAAAAAAAGAAAAAAGAAAAAAAAGAAGGCAACGCAGCTGCGCTGTATGTCTCAATGGAGCCACCTCTTGTAATTCATAATTTTGGGGTCTAATTTTCAGTAACAGTGACTAATTTAGAGAACGAAGTGTGTAGCATAAGTTTTCATAGACTCTTCTGCTTATTCAGGTACATCTGAGCATCTATTCTACGAATGCTTATCCTACTAACTTTGTTCTTAGTCCCTAAGGTGCTACAAGGTTCCTTTGCGTATAGTAAACAAATGATTTCTCATGGGAAGTCCACACACAGGATTGTAGACTTGGAAGGCTGTCATTTGTAGACACAGCAATGTCTGTGTGCTCAACCCTTTCTTCTTTTCAACCCTCCACCCACCTACCAGCAGCTGTTTTTCTTTTGCACCATACTTGTAATTCTGTTGTTGCAAATACTGATTCTAGAACACCTACGTTTTGCGTTAATCTTCTGTCATTGGCCCCCTATTGCAGTAATCTTATGGAACAATAATTTCACTAACTCCTGCGCTAAATCCCAGGAGTGATCTTAGCTTCATTTTTGTTGATCGTTGTTGGTTTCCAAGAGCTTCTACACAAGAGATGACTTGTTTTAATATAGTCAGCTTGTTTTTGTATCTGTAGGTTGCATCAACTTGCCAATGAGTCTGAATATGCTGAATTTGCAATTGGAGAAATTGATCACTTTGCAGCAGCTTTTACTTTTGTATTCATCCATGGAAATGGAGTGCTGGACATAGGTCTTATGGAGAGGATCAGGAGAGAGGCTGATGGACGAAGAGATTGCGAGAGACGTGATTTAAGCACAAGAGTTTTAATACGAATGTTAAGGACATAGGCCTCAGAGTAGTTAAGATGAAATAATTATTTCTATATCCTGCTGCTCCCTTGGGATGCTGAAATTAGCATGGAAATTGATATAGAATAATAGATATAAAAATCTAGAGTTAAGTGTTGTATTAAGATGTATCTGCATTT